GGTCAATATCTAAGGACGGGGTCGGGGGGGGGGGGGATTTTCATCTTCGTAACTGTGAGATCATGTGACACATACGCACACTTGACTAATGAATAGTACCGTTTAAAAACGTTCTGAATATGAATGATATGTTCCCCAGCATTACACGTCTTATTAAATATATATTTTTATGTATAAGACAACAGTCTGGCTCACCATGAGCTTGATTACAATACGGATAAATAATGTAGAGGAAGTGTAGTCAAAGTATACATCGTCATCTATCGGCCTCGAGCCGAAAAGCCATTGATATGATTCATATATAATAATGAAAGTGAATCATATTTGCGAATAATGTGCGCTATAATTGGTTAGTTTTGCATAGACAACAATTTGAAAAATACACTATAGAATAAAATGACAGACCAAAGCATTTCTTGAAAGATTTGTTTGTTTTTTGTTTTTCTTTTCAGACATATTGGTAGTAGCAGTGCCGTTTACAATTAACAATGACTTAAATATCCTTTATTGATCTCCAGTGGGGAAATTGTGTGAGGGGTGCGGGGTGTATTCATATTTTTCATATATATTGTCATACACTATCTCTATTGTCTCGTCTAATTTTCAATGTATAATCAAAATATGAATGCATACACATTTCTAAGATGTTTATTTCTTGAAAAAAGAAAAGGGGCTCTTTCCCTCTGTTGACTGCATACACATTTTATGAACATTTGTGTGCAGATAGTGGTGTTCGATTTTTTTTTTTGTTTGTTTTTTTTAACAAATAGCCACGTGGATGGTTCCAACCTGAAACGTGTGTTCTATAGGTAAATGAATTATAAATCCAAGCACGTATATGACATTTTAAAATACGCATCCTCATTCACAGCATGGTTTGACCATTTCCCTTTTGTTGTCGTAGTTGAGGGTCATGTGAAATGTACAAATGTGATGCAAAAACATGTTTTATGAGAATGTGGGGCTTTGGGTTAGTGCCAATTCCTTTTGGGCTTTACGCATTGTCAAATGCTCTCCTAAATTTGTGTAGTGATGCAAAGATACGTTTTAAAAGCATTTTGTGCATATTTTGAAGCCTTTTTTTTTGACCGCTCCTCTTGGGTTGTACTTCTTTTTAGAGCACAAAAATGGCGCAAAGAATTGATGCATTTGCGTGCTTGTTTTTTGACTTTTCGTAACAGTTCTTTTGATTTGTACTTGTTTTTAGAGTGTTGAAGTTGTGAAAAACAATGATGCATTTTTACATATGTTTTATGAGCTTTTTGTTGGTATTTGATTTTTTGCTTGTTTTTACAACACTGCTTTAACGCAACAACACACTTTTATGCATGATTTTGGGCCTATTTTAACAATTTCTCTCGTGGTTCACTTGTTGCATACACTTTCCCCAAAAAGTATGATGCAAAACCAGTTCCTGAGCATTTTTGTGCATATTTGGGGACTCCGAACGCCCTGAAGCTTCATCTTGAAAACGTTCCTCTTGGATTGTACTGTTTTTTCCCCAATACTACATTTGTCCTACATTGTTTTCAGTGCAGATTTGTAAACAAACACGTTTTAGGAATGCATATCTGGCGGGCCATAAGACTACTTCATGTGTTTCACTGGAATACTAAATTTTCTGGTGAAAAAACACTTTTGAACACAACCAGGCATCTCATACACGCACACACACACACACACACACACACACACACACACACACACACACACACACACACACACACGATAGAATATTTGTAAAAAAACAAACATTAATTTACCTGTTAGTCTGTCTTTGGCAAACCTCCTGCTGCTCTCCATCCAGGGGAAGGTAAAATTGCCATTGCCTATGGGCCCCATGCCGGGCACCGGGCCGAGGCCGGGAGGCGGCTGATGGGTCCCGCCTGCAGCCGAGTTGGGCGGTGGAGGTGGAGGCGGCGGCATGGGCCTGTGCGCCGGGACCCGGATCACCCCGCCGGCCCCCGACCCTGCCGCCCCCGCTGCCGCCGAGTTGACGTTGACGTTCATGTTCATACTGACGTTCATGTTCATGTTGACGTTATAGGAGCCGGCCAGGCCCATGGAGCAAGCCGGGTTGTACACGCCGCCGTAGCCGTTGCCGTAGACGGCGTTGGAGGCGGCGGCCAGCGCGGCATACTCGGGATCCCCGGTCCGGTTGGGCAGCATGCAGCCGTTCTGGGATTGCTCCGAGGTGTTGAGGATCTGGTCGATGCCGAAACTGATGGGTTCGTGCTGCTGCTGTTGCTGCTGCTGGTGAGTTTGGTTCACCTCCTCAATGCCCGTGTGCTCCATCTTTTTTTGTAATCTTATTCAAATAACAAGCACAGGTGTGTGTGTGTTTTCTCTCTCACACTATATTTGTTGCAGTCTGCTTGCTTTCAAGCATCCATGCTGGCCCACGGTGAGGATAATAACAATAGATCCAATGCGTAAAACGACCCAAATGGTGCCATTGTTTGTGTCCAAAGGGGGCTAAGAGACAGCGTATTCCATTTTACGCGGACCCGGCATGAGTGTGACAAATCACTTACTGACACAAATCCGAGCGTTGGGCCCCCGGAGAGCCTGCGAGGGCCCACGGCTGGGGATGCTGCTGGTGAGGATCCATGTGCGTCAAAACCGAGGGGAACCTCGACTGGACACTTTTGACTCGCCGCGGTGAGCCGGGCGACTCGTGTTGTGTTCAAGAGCAGGTGAGACCAGCCTATGCGTGAGCGCTGCCATTCGGCCGAACCATCCTCCTCCTCCTCTTCCTCCTCCTTCTCATCTTCCTCTTTCTTCCTCCTCTTCTTCATCTTTCGTGGACGTGCACGTTGCTCTTAAAGAGACAGCAATTTTGTCGGCGGTCAAAAGCTAAGTGGGGCTTTTGCGGCTTTAAATGATGCCGGAGGCCACTAAGTAACACTCCAATTCGTCCTTTCAGCACTTTTTCTGTGAATGAACAATTATTATTATTATTATTATTATTATTATTATAATTATTATCATTATTATTATTATTATTATTATTATTAATTAGCGGCATGGTGGGCGATTGGTTAGCATGTCCGCCTCACCGTGCAGAGTTGCAGGGTTCGATCCCAGCTCCGGCCTTCCTTTGTGGAGTTTGCATTTATTTCCCTCTCTTCATCCTCCGGTTTTCTCCCAAATTCCCAAAACATGCATGGCAGGTGAATGGAACACTCAAAATTGTCCCTAGGTGTGATTTTAAGTGTGAACATTTGTTCGTCTCTGTGTGCCCTGCAATTGGCTGGCAACCGGTTCAGGGTGTCCCCCGCCTACTGCCCGAAGACAGCGTGGATAGGCTCCAGTACGCCCTCGACCTACGTGAGGATACACGATTAGAAAATTGAGTATTAGTGTGAGGGTTATTGTTATTATTATAAATTGTATTAACACCAATATAAATATTAACATTACTGCTAACATGAATACGGAAATTAAAATTACTGGTAATATTAACAGTAATATTAATGTTAATATTAATATTGGCATTGGGAGTAATACTAATATTAGTCTTAGAATACAATTTTATTATGAATATTATTACTAATAATATTCATAACAAAATGTAAATTGTATAAACGGATTAAGTGGATTTCCCATTTTTTTGTCCAAGAGTATTTTCAGTCATAGGCGCTACTTTTAGCCTCCAGACAGAAGTTTGGAGTTCACAAATAACAACAGAAATAGTACACGCATAACGGTGACGTCACAAATGGAAGGTGAACTCCTCTTTGCAAGTTAATCATGCGAGTGACTCGCCTCCGAAATGTCTGACAGAGTCACTTCTTCCACACCAAAGTCCCCGCTCCCCATAAATAATAAATCGTTTCCATTCTTGTGAGTGACGTAATTAATTTTTAAATTGTGATGTAGAAAATGTGTAAACATCCAACTAATCGTGCCGGATTTCGAAATTTAAGCAAACATTCAATCATAAAAACTGTGAGGATAGAACAAATAACAGTATGCAGCAGGTATCGTCATAAATGTGTGGAAACTGACCTGTTTTACAGATAATGATTTGTATAATTCAATGTTTATTTTTAAAACCTAACCAAAAATGCATTTAAAAACTGAGCCCAATTCTCATATGAAGACCTTGCATGACGTCATATGTGTGGATGTTGAGCAGCTGAATCAATATAAGAATATGAAAGTTAAAAAAAATGACTTTTGTTGGATTGTTTATTCAAATGTTTTTGTTTTAGTTACTTTAAAAATCATGAAAAAATACATTCAAATGTCAAACTAAGACAAGGTGAAATAGAACGTCACTAACGAGCGACTTGGACTGATGGACAAGCTTCTGTCAAAATATCAATCCGCCGGCATTAAAACTGACTCTAATGTTTCATTTGTATAATTTAAATCATTACTATGTTAGACATGAACTGTTAGATAGGTGGACCAAAATATATTTGGCCTGTTTTAAAGATATACGGAGACGTCACCTCGAGCAAGCCCGCTAGCTTGCTGGATAAGAAACAGAAGGTTTTTTAATGTCGTTTGTTCAAACGTATTTTAACCCTTTTCATGCACCTTGTAATCTGATAACATGATAAACTGTCCACTGTGGTAACCGCTGTCCCTGAAAGGGTTAATATATATATCAAACGGTCTCAGAAACATATTAGATTAAATTTACATTTAATTAACACATTTAGTTTTTGACGACTTTAGTGACGTCATCAACCGAGAAAAATGTCAGTCAGTGTGAATTTATGTCAGTGAAACGAATTCCAATGTGTGCATAGATAGATAGATAGATAGATAGATAGATAGATAGATAGATAGATGGCCTCAGCTCCTTGTGCAGGCCTTAATTCAATAAACATGAAAAATGAGTGATAATAAAAGCATGACACGCGCTGCGAGTGAGGAGAAGGAGCAGGAGGAGGAGAAGGAGGGAAGGCGAGCGGGGGGGGGGGGGAAACAAATTTAATATATCAGCGTTTTATTACGCACTTATTTCACTTTGGGCGCGAATGGAGATATGTCTCCGCTGCAAGAGGTGGCTGCAGGGGAAGCATAAAAATCAATTGTGTGCATGCTACGCGGGCCATATCCATAACGCTGGTGGCTGCGATGCTTAATGTTATGATCATGATGACGACGAAGCCGAAGATGATGACGACGAGGAGGAGAAATGGTTTACGTGCTGCAAATGAATTCAACGCAAACGTAAATGTCAACGTCGACATAATTTGACCAGCATGACAAACAAGGCACATATGCAATATTTTGAAGTTTTTCTGACCACTTTGACCATGTATTTCCATGTATGCATTCTTCACATACATAATGATGGATCTAATGTATAAAATACTTTTTTTTTTATTCGTGCAGAGACAACATTATTAAGTGAGCAAATGCTTGTTTTTCATTGATACCGTCAGATATGTAGCATTATATAAAATGGATATTCATAATTAAGACTACTGCTGATGTGTGCACTGTGGGGACTCTTCACACTCAACCTGTAACAGCCCAAATTGCATGTGAGTTTCCTAATTAAAAATTACACATCAGTTATAGCCAACTGATCGTGTTTAAAGGCACACGTGAGCTTTCCTTCAAATACATATTTTTATTGGTGATTCGATGGCATGAGGCATATATTATGCGCACATGCATGTGCTTTTTCCTGTGTATGCGCTGAATATGTCTGCAAGCGATGCAGTCGCTGTGCTGCATAAAGCCCATCAGCAAAGGAGCAACCATGAAGACAAAAAAAGGGAACAAAAAGGAAATGGTCACAGTTTGTGTACGCTGCCAATTCAAAGCAACAATAACAAGAGTGCAAATGGGGAAATCCACGCATTGAGTGAATGCATGCCTGGGCGACACGTTTGAGCGTTGCAAGGACACCAAGGGGGGAACGTCCCGTTCTTTATTTTTTTTCTTTGCTGTATGATCTTCTCATAGGTAATTCAACTATGAGGTAAAATTTTGAGGCTTGTGTGTAGTAGGAAAAAAAAAATCAGGTTGACTCATGCAAAATGAGACTCATACTAAACTAGGACATGGGTATAATCAAATCATTGTTTGGAAAAATGAGTTGAACGTTTGACAAAAAAAAATTAAAATCACATCGAATTCAATATTTACAGAGATGTGTAAGACGACAAAATAATGAATATTTTTTTTCAGTTAGGTCAATCTTCATTCATTTCTTTAGTATTCCTAATAAAAAAATTAAATTAAAATTAATAGATGTTTTCAATGTTATTATTATTTTATCAACAGTCAACATTCATTTTTATATGTTTGTTTATTTGTATATATTTTAATAATTAGTGGATAAAAATCGATTTTTGAAAGCTGTTATTTAAATTTGTTATATTAATTTATATATTCATATCTCTACATTACATATGTATAATTTTGGATGTAGATGCTTATTTAGTATAACAAGAGGTAAAAATATATGATTCTTATTAAACAATCTATACTCAGTAAAGTTTATTAATCGATGTACATGAACTTTCAAAAGGCGTGGATTTAATTTAGTCTTTATTTAGTATCAAAGGACAAAAATTGAAGATTATTTTCATCAATTTCAGCATTTTTTTCTTAGTTTTAAAAGAATTTCTCCATTTGCCTTTTTATGTTTTATACTTAGGATTTTTTATATATCATGCATTTTATTTAATTATCAAAAATAGTTTCCTTATATCAAGATTATTTTCCATGACAAATATATCATAATTTAACATTCCCTTTTGACTTCCTCTCTTCACTCCCCAGCCCATGCAGAACATTTAGCCTGGAGAAAAACGTCCATTTGTGAACTAAAGGTCAACTACTTGTGTGCTTGCTTGTCTGTGTGCATGGGTGTGTGTCAGCCACGAAGGTGTCCATCACACTGGACAAGAGGAGCGGTGCAGAGGTGCATTGAAAAGTGACAGCTGCAAAATGATCAAAGCTGTCACACTTCAAGTGTTATGTTGTGTTGTTGTGTAAGTGTGTGTGTGTGTGTGTGTGTGTGTGTGTGTGTGTGTGTGTGTGTGTGTGTGTGTGATTTGCTTAGAGTCAGTGTGTGTGTGTGTGTGTGTGTATATATATATATATATGTATATATATACACACATACATGCACACGTGTCCTCCGATATATTTACTTACCAACCTTTCTTATACCTTTTTTATATATACACCCACTGACCTTTTTCTAGTTAGTTAGGTCCCATGTATGCATGCAGGTTGTATGTGGAGCGTTGTATTACATTAGAGTGCATTTGCGGGGTCCTCAAGGCCCCCCAGGGGGAAACCTGGCGCCTCTTGCTTGGAGCAGACGACGCATAGCTGCGTGGCCAGAGTGGAAGAGGAAGAGTGAAAAAAAAAACCTCGAAGTGAAATGTAGGCTGGGGACGATTGATGGACGTCATATTGCTGCTTGTACTGACAAGCTCAAAGCAACGAGGTCATTTGGTTCATCATCACATCAACATCATCATCATCATCATCATTATTATTATTACGATTGAGGGGCTCATTTTGTTATGCTGACAAGCTCAAGGCATGCTCATGTATTAGTATTGTTAATATTGTTATTGGCAAGCATGTCATTGATTAATATTGTGTATCTAACCATATTTAAAGTAAATAGTGACACTGATAGGCTCGAGGCAATCAAGCCATTTATTATTTTATTTCATTATTACAATGAAACGCTACAGACAATGTGCTGATATTACTAATTATTTTTTGGTGGTGATTAATCCATACTGAAGCTCAGATCATGCAGGTAATTTCGGTAATATTAATTATTATGGTGTTATTATTG